GGTAGCAGCAGGGGTGGCATTGCAGGGATTTGCCCCTCACTGCTGCTGTATGTGCAGGGGACATGTTGGCAGGGCAAACGTGGAGCTCACAGAAGCAGGCAGCTTTTCTGTGCAGCCCCGCTGTGCCCTGCAGTGCTGGGTCGCACCTGCTGGGCTTTGGAGGCCACAGGGGAGGGCAGCAGAACAGGAGCCCAAGCTCACAGGAAATAGCCTGCACCCGCCTCCACCCCGCACACAGATCTGGGAGGCACGGGTTCCCCCTGCCCATAAGAGTGTGTGCAGCGGCGGGGAGTTGCCTCCTCCCGGCCTCTCTGCCCCAAAACGAGCCACCCACGGCCCCTTCCTGCTCTCCACAAGGGCCCTACAGCCATGCATTATGGCCCCAGGCCCCGAGCCCCACACACTGCTCAGCTGGGCAGCAGCCCTAGCCCCAAGCCTACCCAACTCCCTCCCTCCTTCCCTTTGGGGCTTCAATTCCCCCCACCCCCACGCCTTCTCACTTATCTGCTGGAGCTGCTCTCCAGGCTGCCTAACTGCTCCCCATGCCTGACTGTCCTCCTCCCACTCCATCCAGCCCCCTACACGCTGGAACTCTGTCAGCCTGCAGAGGGCTCATCGCAAAACTGCAAAATCCACGGGTTTCTCTGCTAAAATGAGAAATCCGTGGTTTCCCCGGTAAAGGGGAAAATCTGTGTTTTATTCAATTTTCCTATGGGAACAGAAACCCCAGATCCCTGTTAATCAGGCAACCCAGCTTGGGTTAATTGCCTGGACAGCCAGCCAACCTCTTTGGGTCTCTGGCTGACAAGTTCTGCCCCAGCTAATTAACTGGCTAGCTTCCTGATTGGCTGCTGGGAGTGCCACCCACCCATGTAGACCAAGCTGTGGCAGCAGACTCCTGTGCTAGCCAGCAGTTCTGACCCTGATCTGCTTTGGTAAACCTCTTGATTCTTTACCCTGGTTTGGCTCTGCTCTTGGACTTTGGCTTAGTGATTGTCTCTTGGACTTGGTAACTCAGCATCTGATTCCAAGACAGTTACCTTGGCCTGTGTTTTGGACTGTCCCCTTGAATTTCCCTCCAGACAGTTATTTGGGTCCCAGATCCTGTCTTCCCTCAGTGGCTTAACCAGTAGGCTAGACCACCTATGATCTGATTACTAAGGCCTTGATTTAGACTGATGTTAGTAAATGAGCCATTTAGTCCTGTAGTTTATTAATTGATCCTAACTAATATGTTGCCATTTGGAGAAATCAGAAATATATTTTGAAAATTTGTTTCTGTCTTAACTCCCTCCCACAATTAAGCTGGCATATGTATATGTGCTGGATTTTATGCCCTGGTCTTGCTTTCAGAATGACAGCATTGTTTTTGGAGGCATGTGTACATATCTCATGTAAAAGTAGAATGTTATATCTGGTCACTGATCCTTAAAAATTCCATAGTTCCTAGACATGGTGAAGTAGTAACAACAAATTATATAACTTGAATGATATTTTTTTAAAAATTCAAACAAAAATCATGGAACTAATAAAATTCTTGCTAAATATCTCCAGTCATTCATGCAGCTTATCATTATACTTCATCTCCTTTTGACCATATTTGAGCTTTTCAGGCCAGGAAATATGATTCAGATTCTCCAGACTGGCAGTTGCTTTGCATTTCACTACCGGCACAAGCTTGCCCTAAAGCCAGCATGTGCAATCCTGGAGAGATCAGCTCAGTGCAAGGACATCCTCTGGTTTGAGAAACTAAATGTAGCTCTTATGTCATTTCCACCTCTGCATATGGTGCAAAAGGGAAAAGGGACCTGGATAAAAGTAATGTATGGTACCATGACATCTCTACAGCTTCATTTTCAGCCCTATTCACGGTTAGTTTTTGACAGTTTGACAGAATGTAGAAATCCATGGCTGTGTCCATATAAGCAGGGGCATGTGTTTGCAGCAGCACAAATAGTAGTGGCACAAATTTGTGCCGCTACTTTGTCCTGCAGTGCACACCCCTGCTTGTGTAGTTTGCAGTGGGACGCATTGTTCCACTGCTCCATGTGCTGCAGGGTGAGAGGACTGGCTGGGGCACAGGCAACCCCCACGTTGAGGCACAGTGTACTCCAGCCAGCTGAGGAGTGGTATATGGAGACAGGGGAGCAGGCAGCAGGCCTAGCAGACCCTAGCCAGCAGTTCCCCATCCGTTCCCCACTTCCCAGCTTCTCAGGAATCCTGGTAGCAAATGTTGCCCCCAGCACTAAAAATCAGTAGTGCCACACACAGTTTAATATGCAACATATGCAGTTTGTGGTGCCACAAAGAAACTTGTGGCACCACAAACCACACATGCCTGCATGTCTGGATGTGGCCCATGAGTAAAATGTAGAGAAAACAATAGAAATTAAAGGAATTTGGGGAACATCATCTGAAAAGACTGGAAGAGATGTTAAAGGAGTTTGGTATGGATTAGGGTTTCTCAACTGGTGGGACACATCCCACTGATGGGATGCGAAGGTCCTCTAGGTGAGACAGGTCACGGCAGCGAAACCGAAAGTGCCACAGCATACTTCTAGTTTTGCTTTTGTGTGCTTCGATTGGCTGCTGCCTGCCCCTCAGCCCCCCACTCTTCGACTAACCTCTGGGGGACCCCGCTGCACTCATTGACTGATGGGACCAAGATTTTTTTACCTTACATAGGTGGGATGTAAGGTGCAAAAGGTTGAGAACCATTGGTAGAGATGATAAAAAGTTGATAAGTTCCTCCAAGGTGCAATATACTGTATTTACTGGAATCTAAGACAAGGCTTTTTTCCCCATTCAACACTGGCTGAGGGTGTGGGGAGAGCCCTTCATCCTAGATAAGAGAACAAGTTGTGGAGGCATAAGGAGGAAGCAGTTGTGGCTCCAACTTTAACACTGAGCCCACAGGCAGAGTTGGAGCCGCAGCTGATGTCCCCTCTCTCCTTGCAGCCTCTACTCCCCTTACCTTTATTCCCTGCCACTGTTTACCTTCCCCTTGCAGCTCTGGTTCCTACTGGAGCCCCACTTCAGCCTAGGGCAGGGAGCACAGAGCATGTGCTACATCTGGCCTAAGCCTGACCACACAGGAGCAGCAGTAGTGGCAGCTCTAGCCGTGGCTAGAAGCTGCCGTCTCCACAATGGCTGCTACATGGCTGGGCTAGAGCCAGAGGCAGCACCTGTTCCATGTTCCCTGCCCCAGGCCAGAGTGGGACCCCAGCAAAAGCCAGAGCTGCAAGGAGAACATAATCATAGGTGTGCAGGAGGGATGCAGAGGGCAGGCAGCTGGGGGGAGGGCCCTACAGAGAGGGCAGCAGAAGAGGGAGTAAGTGGTGGGGGGGATAGGTGCAAGCATCAGAGGGTACAGGTACAGGGAGGAGGTCAAGTGGCGGGGGGCAGGCAGCAGGGTTTACAGGTACTGCAAGGACAGTAATGGGGCGTGCAAGCACTGCGGGGAAGGCAGGCAGGCAGCCAGGCAGGTGAGTGTTGGGGGGACAGATGACAAGGGACAGGGATCAGTCCACTTGACTCTGCTGCTGCCAGCCCCCCACCCCACTACACCTTGCCACTGCTCACCCCGACTACAGCAATGGTGGTGATGGGGGTAAGATTTAAGAGAACCATTCAAACATTACATGACAGGAAAAATTATAACAAATTTAATACATTTTCCATGGCTTGTATCTAAATATTGGGGGAATCATCTTAAATTCGGAGTAATCTTGGATTCGGGTAAATGATAGACGATAGTTACTTCATTTATAATGTCAGGTAGGCAATGGTGGCCAAGGAGAAATAGATGGGAACTAAGGAAGGAAAAGCTTAACTTAGATACTTTACTAGGAAAGACTTTAACAATAAAATCTTCATTGCAGATATTAAAGACAAAGTTAGATAAGACATTAGTTAAAGCCATCTATTGAGAAATTCTAGAAAATATGAGGGGTCAAATTTAAGTAACCTCGGCAACATTCTTGCCCAATACTCTTTATATCTCAGTAAACTCATCTTTACTTAGTGCTCTCACCTAGCCAGATTAAAGTTATCTGGGCCCCTGGCAGCCATTAAAACAATGGCACAGTTGGGCTTGGAGGAATTTTATACCCCATCCCAACCACTGTGCCTCCTGTCATGCATGTCTGGCATGGCAGGAGGTATGATGTTTGGGATGAGGCATAAAATTCTTCAAGCCCAGTCACACCACTGCCCAGCTGGTTTGAAGCCTTCCCTTAGTGGGACTATAAACCATGCACTTGGCAGCTCCAATGGGGCTGCCAGGCACAGGGATCCAGAGGTTCCTGGCAGAGTTGCTGAAGGGCTTCCCACACTGGAGACTTTTAAACCTGCACCCATGGTTTAAAGTCCCCAGCAGGGGAAGCCCTTTGTCTGCCCCTGCTGGGAGCCTCTGAGCCCGTGCCTGGCACTCACAGCCCATAGGACAGCCCTGAGCCAGCTAGAGAACTGGGGCTGCTCCTGGCCACTGCTGACAAGATTGTTGGTGACCGTGGGCTGGAGACTGGGCTGTCCAGGGCTGATTCTGACAACCAACCAATCGATCAACTGATATAAGGTCCCGTACAAACATTGTATGTGGAACATTTTTGCCATTTGATCTTAAATTGGGTGCACATGGAACGCCTTTGCCATGCATGACATAATTAATGCCACAAGTGTAATGTGTGCCAGGGACCCTAAAAATAGAAGCTATGTGGCCTGTAAATCCTCTGAGCAATTTAGTTCCTTATTTGTTTCAATTTTGAATTTGAATCTTTTTGCTCTTATACTCCTCTGTTGCTGCAGCATGCTGTGGTATTCCTTTGAAGTACTGATCTTCCATTACAATGTTAATGCTTCATGAAAATGTTCCTTGGACGTATATATTTTGCCTCACATATTGTTCAATAGCAACCTAGTTCAGCAGGTAAAAAGAAGTGATAATATATTTTTTTTTAATAATGTGATTTAAAAATTTGATAAAAAATTAACCTTTTCAGAGATAAAGAAATGCTTCAAGAATGGAGAAACCAAACTAAATTGATGAAGGAAAAAAAAGAAGTTCAGTTCAAGTTTTCAACTGAAAATGCAGACATGGTATGTAGTAGAACTTCCACAAGGAGGCTCACTAGATCAAGCAAGTAGCCCATTAACAAGCATCTCTGAAAGCTTTTCATTAGTGGACAATACATTTGGATAAAAGGCTTCTAAGGATGAGTATGTGACTAAATAGGAAAAAAAGAAACTAAATGCTACCACTTCAAGAAGCCTAGACCCTACAGGCTGCATGTGAAATATCTGTATGGACCATAGCTCTTGCAAGAAGTGATGTGGTCCCATGTGTGATGTAGGAGTTGCCAGATCCTGCAAACAGCTATTCCAAATTTGTAGTGACTCCAATAATCAGGCTACTTGGAGGCGTTAAAACAGAAGTGCTTATGTTTAAACATGTTTTTCAAATTATTTAACGCCTCCAATTTGAGATGTTGCCTCTGCCAAACTGCAATTGATGTAGGTTGGTTCTTATGGTTCTTCCAGGAGTCTGTAAATTCTGGCGCACCAGAAGGGAGCATCTCACTTTTAAAAGATTCTTAATGTGGTAGAAAAAACGGGTTTGTATCCTTATTTGCTTATCACAAAGAAGGGCTGAGAAATCTTCCCCAAAGCAGCAAATTATAAATTCTTGCTTCTTTAGATTAGGAATTCTTGTCTTGTTTAAAAACGACATTGCAGGAAAGATGAACGATGCACAGCCCTGTTTTCAAATGTAACAATGAAAACAGAACATGACAATGTCACAAACTGGAAGGAAGCAAGATTATTCATTTAGGAAACTAAAATGCTGCAAGATGAATTCTTCAGCTTCAGTTTCATGATTGTTTGTTTCTACCTTAATTTTTCATCACTGAACCTATGGGGATAACATAGATACATTGTGAGTTAAAATAAATGATGTCCTTCTAAATGAGGCACAACTGAAAAAAGATTTTTGACAAGTTTCTTGATTTTTTTTACATCAATTTAGCAGTGCTAAATGAACCTGGTAAAAAGGGAATTCACAATACATTTCTTTGATATGCTCAGCAAGAATAGATAAACCCTGCATTTCTAAAGTACAGATAAAAGAGAACAAACATTTTTCAAGCCTTCTTTCTAAATTATAAAGAAGCAAAAAGAGACACAAACAAATTTAGTTTTAGTTCATTTCTCTGTGACTGTTTTCCTTTTACCCTATGTCACATCTGCTTAGAATGCAAAATAAAAGTGTGTACAGTGCTTAACACAAGGAGGCCCTACTCTAAATTAAACAAGAAAATAATTTAACATTACTCCATTTATAACAACATATAGTAATATTTTACTCTCAGTACTATTCCTTGTTCCATGTGTCTTAAACCTTTTTTTATTCTCTCAGTTTCATACTCTGGAAAATAAGCTATGTTATATTACTAAATATGTCAGTGCTTCCAGGAATACTTGTTATCATTAAGCCAATAACATAGTATAATGCAGGGGTGAGCAATTATTTTGGCTGGAGGGCCACTTAACGAGTTTTGGTGAGCTGTCAAGGGGCACAAGGGTAGCCCCTCCCCTTAACAGGTGCCCCGCCTCCTTGCCGCCATCTTGGGACTAGAATTCCCACCCCTAATCCCTGACTTTTGCCACCAGAAGTCCCTCCCCTAGCCCCATCAGTACTCCTTTGGGGGGGGTATCATCTTGAAACTAGAAAAAAACCTAAATCATATACTAAAAAAAATCAAACATCTACTACAACTTTTTTTTTTTTAAATAGTTTTGTCCTAATTTATGTGTGTATGCATAGTGTATCTAGAGGCGATTGCATAAGAGCTCAAAATATAGTCTTACCCTTGTATGTTGTGTGGGGGTGTGTGAGAGATGTGGGTATGGTGGCAGGGGGAGGATGTGGAGGAGTGTGTTTGGGAGTATGGTGGGGGGGTGGCAGGGGGTGGGTACATGTGTGGGTACGATGGGGGCTGGGGGGTGTGTGTGTGGAAGGTGGGGGGGGGGGGAGGTCCTTGGAGTCCCTAGAGTGTGCAAGTCCCTGAAGCTGCACATGATGGCAGCGAGTGGGGCCAGTCCCCCTCCAGCCCCATAGCACACAGCTCCCGCACTCCTGCAGCGAGCGCACCCCATGTTTCCACCCGTTTCCCCCCAGTGGGAGTCCCTGGCCCTGTGCTGGTGGGGCTCTCACCTCCATTTCCAGGCTCACAGGCAGGGAGTCTGGAAACAGCCTTGGGGTGACCAGGCACAAGTTCTGCCAGGCAAAGGCTTCTTGTCTCTAGCCGGCTCAGGGCTGGGGCGGGTCAGGCCAAGCTGGGGGTTTGCTTAGCAACCAGATCTGCAGGGATGTGCTGTCTTGAGAGGGGCAGCACAAGGCCAGAGCTTATGGAGGGGCCCCATGGACCGGATGGAATTGCCTGGTGGGCCGAATTCAGCCCACAGACTGTATTTTGCCCAGCCCTGGTATAATCTCTGCCACTAAGCTGAATAATACAAGGGCAAATTTAAAATCAGGCACTGTCTCCAGCCTTTCATTTTGCTGAAAACAGTTCCACTTTTAAGGAAGAAGGTTACTATTGCAAACAGGCAGAGCAGATGTCAGATCTCTATAAATAGTTTCTGATTCAAGAAATGGTAAGTGTACATAATATTTTAGACGGTTGTTGAATTGTTTAATGTTCCTTTATACAAGTGAAAATTCTGGGCTGAAAGCAATTGTAAGTGTGACACTGCTTTATGTGAAACTGGTTCAGGCCAAATTCTTCCACAAGTTAAAAAAAAAAAAAGTCATCCCTGATTCAGGACCAAAGCCATTAAAATTGCAATGGTAGATCTTCAGGGTAACCCCCTCTTTCTTAAGTGAATCTGGGAGCACAGAAGATAGGCAGTTCGTAAGTGTCTTGCTTGCATGCTAGCTAAGGGACGAGTGACAAAATCCTCCAACATCCACTGAAGTCATTGGATAAAAAACTGGAGTTTATCCAGTGACCTTAGTAAGTCAAATTCCCATTCTAATGTTCTAGTTTCCAGCAGCAAAAGCAATTTCAGGATATCCAAACTAGCAAGATCAGTATGAACAAACCAAGTAAGAATGAATACATATAACCACTAGGAGCAATAATGGGTTAAATCCTAATGTACATTCACATGGTACTTATGGGAATTCTGACTTAAGCAATAATGGACACTTAATTCAAGGGTGTTCATCTTATCCATCAGAGAGTAGATATAATGTGTTTTTCTCTCTACATGGGAATGTCTTTGTTTTAGCTAATCTTTAGGCTGGAGTTTTTTGTTGTTGTTTTTTTAAGACTGTAGTTTTGTTTAAAAAATGGTTGAAAATTGACCATTGAGAATAACACATTTATAAATAACAGCATATTTACTTGTCACAAGCAATTCCTGATTTGTCTTTCCCAAGCTGTATAAATACAAAGAAAAACGGTTATCCAGTTCGTGAGCTCAAGTGTTGTATTCACTATTTTTTTCAGTGTATAAGTACATATTTTATGCTCTAAATTTTGTGTTTAGGTAGACATAGTTGAATGTATATATAAAACACAAGAGGGCACTGTAGAATCATATATGCATGTTATGGTAATAGCAAGGCTTTTTGGTAATATCTTTTATTGGAGCAGTGATACACTTGGGAGAGAAGTTATCGGGCACAAGTGCCTTTCCTGAGTTCTGGGGGTGAAGTAGAAACAGCCTAAGCTAAATACTAAATAGAACAATATTTTTTGTTTAACTCCATTATGCAAATGAAACAGTTAGTTGTATCATATTACCAGAAACATCACAACTACAAAAATAGTTTAACTTTACCATAGTCATAGCAGTGACTTTACTAAGCTCCCTTGTTACACAATGATCGAGTAAATAGGGTCCATTAGTTCCATAACTAACATCTAACTTAAAAGTATGTAAATGGCTGTATGTAATATTTTTCCATACTTTTTATTTTGCCCATTTTTACTGGCAATCATATACTAGAGTGGAAGCAGTTTTACATTTATTGCATATTGTGTATTATGTACATATTTGCTAAATGAAAGTATGTGCTTTCTGCAAAAATTTCAAGTCAAGTCCTCACAAATAGCCACAAGTATTTCTGAATACATGAATCAGTTGCTTATACTTTATTTTATATTAGTGATCTAGATGTTCATGACTTATAATAAATGCTAGTATTTCAAGTGTAAGGAGGACAGTAGTTTCTTGAAGGAGCACAGTAAACACATTTTTTAAATTTTATAGAAGTTTTTATAACATTTTCCATCTTTCTCCCATAAAAAATCCCATTGATTTCCCTTGATGAAGAAATAATAATGTGAATAAAACAAATAAGATTTGGTCCCTACTTTTAGCCTTTTATTTTGCATTTAAAGACCTGCTTATAAGCTTGAAACTGCGAGTACAGTATTGATTTAGCTTGGTATTTCTGACAAATATCGATAAACACCTTTTTATCACATGAAACCAACAGGAACCTGTCTTTTTAATCCTCTTCTGTTATCACGGTTATTGATAATACCGTAAATGATCCTTGCATAGTTCTAGCATTTGCATTCCGGTTGGTTGACTTTTTGCAGAAACATGGAAATTAGACTCACTCATGAACAGTGATATTTAAAATAAAATTGTAATATTTAAAATAAAACTATGAACTAAACATTTTTACAATCAAGATTATACCAGTTTATTATAGGTCCAAATTGCCTGTAGTGAGCTATAGCACTTGTTAGGCTTTATTTCAAGCCTTCTTGTTTATATTTTTCTGAGGAAAGCTGTAGAACATTTCTATGCCTTAAAAATTGAACAAAAAACTGATATGTAGAAATTGATTATTCCCAATCCTCCAAGGATTTAAAGATGGATGCCAGAGCTTTTGCATTCCCTCATGAACCAGTGAACCCATTTTTTTACTAGAGATGAGATCCTGTTTAAGTGAACATGGGTGATGTTTGTTTCCTTTCTAGTTATTTAAGCTAAGGTCCAATTCAGTGGATGACTCATCTTTTTTTACAATGAAAAAATAGCTGAATTAACCAAGAACTACAGCTTTTGTAATATTT